GCAATTACACTTATTGCCAACATAAGTAATCATTGCAGCTGAAATAAGCTGATGTCACTAACTCCACTAAAGAAGCTTATGCTCTCTTGCTGCTGAGATCCTAGAGCTGCCTGGCTTTTGTCTTTACTTTTGTCTTTTCTTTATGGAATTCCTCAGAATTCCATAATTCTGAATGTTTCCATGAAATATCTTGCTTTTTTGTTTACTTAATATAACCAATGTGAATTTCTAGCTTGTGTAACTATAGGAATCTTTATTACACTAATGTATTAAAGGAGATGAAAAACAGATATTTTTTGGAATCTAAGGGAAAGATATTTGAGAAAAAAAGGGAAAGATATATTTTACCTATAGGTCCTATACCGAAGGACATATAAGTAAGTTTGTTTAATGAAAGCATTAACTTTTATTATTCAATTAATTAAGGCATTTATCTGTTCAACAAATATTTGTTGAAGTTCTTGTATATCTTGGTTTCTGTGGATATAATGGTGAGACAGGGATCAAAAGTAATGTCTGATGTCATGAAGTTTATATTTTGTCTTTTCCATAGAGAATTGACATAGAAGAGGCATCGTTTATTACAAAAAGTATTACACTGACATTCCACTGATTATTACCTGAATATGTTGAAACACTCTTTGATGGTACCTAAATTCCCTTCCAGCTTCCTGTTTACCTCTTGTCCACTAGATGGATTTTAGAAATATAGATAGTTTAAGCTCCATACAAAGTTTAAGTTTTCTGGGGATAGATCTGCTCAGATTGATTCAGTCTTGGCATTTAAGCTTGTTCATCCTTCCTAGATTCCCCTGCTCCTTGTTGGTTCATTTCTCTTGGATCATTTTCGTTGGTTACAGAGCCCTAGGACTCGCACTCTTATTTGTCTGGTCTTTATCCCATAAACAATGGGGTTCATGGTAGGTGGCACTAGTAAGTAGAGGTTTGCCAGGAGGATAAGGACCTGTTTGGGAACATGGTGTCCAAAACGATGGGTAAAGAAGGAAAAGAAGGCTAGAGTATAAAATATCAAGATAACACATATATGAGCTCCACAGGTTCCAAAGGCCTTTGTCCGGGCCTGCTTAGAAGGTAGTCGGAAGACTGTTCTCAGGATGAGCCAGTAGGACAGGGAGATGAGGACAAAGTCCAGCCCTGTGGTGAGGAGAGCAGCAGTGAGCCCATAAATGCTGTTAGGGGCAATGCTATTGCAGGCCAACCTGGCAATGCCCATGTTCTCACAGTAAGTATGGTGGATGACATTGCTCTGGCAGAAGTGTAGCCGGAGAATGAGAAGGACACCAGGTGTGACTACAGCCACACTCCGAGCCACCAGAGCCAGGCCCACCTTGCCAATGAGAGAGCCTGTAAGTAGGGTAGCATAATGGAGTGGTGCACAGATTGCCACGTAGCGGTCAAAAGCCATGGCCAGTAGAACAGCAGATTCAGAGAGAAACAGAGCATGAACAAAAAACATCTGTGTGAGGCAGGCAGGAAATGTTGACAGTGAAGGGCCCTCCCAGAAGATGAGTAGCATTTTGGGCACTGTGATAGTACAAAGGAGGACATCGTTGAGTGCCAGCATGGCCAGGAAGAGATACATGGGTTCATGGAGGTTCCTGTCCCAGGCCACCACTGCCATGACCAGGCCATTGCCTATCACAGCCAAAAGGTACATGAAGGTGAAAGGGATGGAGATCCAAATTTGGAAGTCTTCCAATCCTGGCACACCAGTGAGCAGAAAGGCAGTGAGTTGAGTGGATGTAGAGTTGGATGTTGTCACAGAGAGGTGGCTAAAGTCTACTACGTAAAAAACAGAAAGAAAATAGTTAGACTGAACAATAGTAGAAAATGAGTATTTATTCCTTTATTCTGGTAAAGTCCTAACCATTAATTTTGGCATGATAAGGTAGCAATGAGGACCACGAATAAAATTGTCTGAGATAAGTTACTAAATACGTGAATGATTGTGGGTCAATCACTTCCCTTTTATAGGACAGTTTGTTCTCTATGTAAAAAAAATGTGAATCAGAAAAATTGAGTTGAATCCTTCATTTTCTTTAATGCCATTTTTCTAATCACATAATTCATGTGTATGTCTTTCAAACTATTAACTGTTCTATATACATAGTTTTTGAATAACTTCATAACAAATCTTAACTACAAAAAAGTAACTTTCATCTTTCTTTTCTCTCCATAATACTGAACAGAAGATGGGAGAGATATTCCATTTTTTTCTGTAGAGAAATTGAAAAGGAGATGGGTTGGAAGGATAACTGATACATAACTGGAGGCAGCATAAAGATTCTAATTCTTGTTTTCCATCCTAAGGGTGTGAAATATGTTTCCTTGGCCTAATTTTTATACCAAAAGAAAAAAAAAAAAAAACAATCATCTTCCTCTCACTCATACTCTTAAAGATAATGATTGAATTAAACTGAAATTTAAAGTTCTGTTCAAAAGTTGAAATACTATTCATACCCTAATAAGCACTACTTCATGAGAATCAAGACCCGGAGTCAAAGAAGACAAAAATTCAGAGTACAGTATGTTCTCATTCAGAACAAGACATCACTGAAAAATTTCAAGGCTTGTAACTATTCAGTACCTAGCACTGAAAGAACCTTCCACAGAGTAAAGTGACTGCCAATTTCACATCTACCAACAAGAAAACATGATAAAGTTACAGCAAC